ATTTTTACCTCTCACCAAGCAGCTCTGGGCACCCCTCAGCTTTACATCTCTCAAAAATCAGCGTGATCACATGCCTGGCTTGTGGTGTGGGGATAACAAAAGCTTACCCCTCTCCTCTCCCCCAAGGCTTGCTTTTTTTTTTGGTAGAAGTTGTCCAAGCATAGAGTGCAGCATCCACTACTGAGGATGTGCGGGCTGGAAGTGGGGAGCATCTTCTGGAGGGTGAGGGACACCTTACCAGAGCTGGGACACAAGCTCCTCCTCTACTTGCTTCCTGCAGTGCCCCATTAGGATAAATTTCACTATAAAGTCCTCAATTAGCCACAAGCTACACTTTAACACTCACTTTGAGGGCACTGTGGGACTACAAAGGAAAACATCATTAGCTGTCTTCCTCTCCCCCGCTCTTCTTTCCCTTTTTTTCTTCCCAAAAGGTGGGTTTAGCTCCTTGGCGTGTGGGGAGCCACACAGGAAAACGATAAACTGGTGGGACCCCAGCTTTTTCTGTGACTCTGCTACAATCAGACAGGTGTTGCCAATTTGTTTGTGCTTGTGTTGGCAATTAGTGGAGTTTTACACCTGATGTTTCCTGTTGCCAGCTGTTTGCCTTTAGCCTCCCCTGTTCTTCAATAGCTAAGATAATTACAACCAGCCCAGATCTCTTCCTTACTTTTTCCTCCATGGCATGTTCATCCAGCCCTTCCTCATCAAAGCAAAATAGTCTCCACTTTTTTTGCAGAAGGCCCTGAAATGGTCTAGTCGGGGCTTTTTTTTTTTTTTCCATGTACCCGTGGTAAAAACACAGATGGACCTAGATATCTCATCTCCCAGCAGCACCAGTACACACACAGCTAGCCACAAACTGGGAGCCAGAGCCAGCCACCACCCATCTCCAGCCTCCCTGAGCCTTCGAGGAGAGCAGATCAGGTGGCCTTGGCCACCTAGATGTCAAAACAGCCCCCAACACATACACGCTCTATTTTTTTTTAATCCCCCTTTCGCGAGCAAACAAGCAGAAGCACGCAACCAACCCCCCCCCCGCAGCAACGTGCTGAAATGGAAAAGGCTTTAGAGGAGCACACGGCTTTCTCTCTCCACTGGTTTTTCTCCTGGGGATTTTCATCTGCCTTGACATGCCAGGCTGGGAAAGCACCTGCGGAGATGGCACGGCCTATCCGAGTCAGTAACCCATCAGCTCAGAGGGATTTCGCCTGCTGTTTCTGACCTGCTGCCGTCTATCATGTCAAAAAAAAAAACCCACTTGCCGGAGAAGAGCCTGGGATCACATCAGAACAAGGGACCGTGACAGCCAAGAAGGGTAAACAAAGCCAGGCCACGCTTAACTGAAGCTGTGATGGCCCCTTGAGTCAGTATTACCCACACTCCAGAGCCCCTCTGCCGCTTGGACCCCCCCTACATGGGCTCAGAGCAGATTTTTGGGCCACCCCTATGCTCAAAGTAGGGTTCAGGCTGCTTCCCGTTCCATCCCAACCCCAAACTCTAATGGTTTGAAAGCAAGGTGAGCTGTGCCGGAGCAGAGAGGGCTTCATGGTTATCCCAAAGGAATAGGAGACATCCCATAGCGGGGCCTACTCTCCTCGTGCTGGAGGCCTAATGGAGCAAAAGGCATGTAAGTAATCACAGAATCTTCTAGGTTGGAAGGGACCTTAAAGATCATCTTGTCCAACCATCAACCTAACTTTGACAAAAATAGACACCCACACAACAAACAAAAAGCAACACCATCACTAAACCATATCTCCC